TTATCACAATTGCAGACATTTATGACAAATAAACCCATTATTGGGGAAAATGAGTGGAAATTAATTACAACTAATATTAATGACAATACAATTTGGAAACTATTTAAGAGAAGTAAACCATTTTGTTTCATACGAAGCAATAATCAGAAAACAAGTTTAGGTTTGTATTCAAATAAAATTTTAAGAAAATTATTTTGTAATTATTTATCATTCAGAAACAACTAATATAAATGAGTCCATGTTTGAATTCAAATATTATAATGGTTCATATATACATAAATCTTCAAGAAATGTGTATAAATTATTCAAAATTATTAATTTTTTACCAGGTTAGAATAGAAATTTTTAAACTATTATCTTCATGAAATCTTAGGACTCCCTCTTCATTAAATTGTTATATATTTATTACCATATTATTTACCTCTATATATAGCTTCTGTTAAAGAAATGAATGAATTAGTTGTTGATATAAACAAAATATTTGACACGAATTCGCATATATCGGTCGAGTATTACAACTTCTGGATTGAAAATAATAAAGCATTCATTCAAAGTGAATATAATTCACTAGATTTAAAGCATTTAATTTACTTTAAAAATGCAATCTTCGAAACCAAGACCTCCGTTGACATGATTTGTATTGATTTCTACATATCGTGTGAATTAATACGAGAACTCTTGCAATGTCTTCATTATTATCAGCAAATATGGGGAATATTAGACAAATGGTATATAAGAGATGATTATATACTAGTTGACACTACAATGAAGTATGACAGATGTATCAGGGTATACACACACTATTCTCAAAAAGCAGAGTATCGGCATAATTATTGTTATAGTTATTACCGGGAAAAGATTTATAATATTTTTTGGAAAATTCTGAAAATGTAAGTATAATGTTCTGAATTAAATATAACTTTTATTAATATAATATATTTAATATCATTTAGGGACAACATACTGACTGACCAGGGTATACAAACTCATAGAATTAAAGAGTATTTAAATGATAATGACTTTACAAATAAAACAATCCCATCGGTCGAGGATATGGTCAATGAATTCAACGACATTTTCGCGCATAATATCCGTATAACCGATGAAATGATTTTCACATTTCAAACACACATTCAATCCATGAATTCACGAAAATCTTATTTCAATTTCTTCTATAAATATTTATTAATGAAAACCAATTCAACAAACAATTCATCAAAAGATTTGAGTCCAACGGCTCCGACAGTCAACCCAAATATACTTGAAATAGCTGTGGCTGAGTGCCCGACCCTTAATACAGGCCATACACAACCAGAAATAGATTTAACTCAACTCCACATCACTTCGTAGAGTAGGCCCACAACTGGATGCGAGACGTCCTTACCCTTCATTAAGCACCGGTCAAGCAGTCTATGCACCCCTGCGGACACCCGCTTTTATAACCCAATCAGCGTATTGGTCAAAGGCGAGCACCTGGACCTCCAACTCGTTAAACATTGGTTCCGACAGTTAGTATCGGCAGTGGAGTACTTGCACGGCATCGGTATCGCGCACCGGGACCTCAAATCCGATAACATAATCATCAGAAACAACTCCATGAGTGACTGACTTTGGGTACACCCGGGAAATACCACTCACAGAGGACGGCACCCGCAAGAAGTGTACATCCTATTACGGGACTATTGAATACCAGTCCCCCGAAGCCCTCATTTTTGTCCATCGGTTCGACCCCTTTGTGTCCGACTGTTTCAGTTTAGGTGATCTCTTGTATACAATAACTACTTTTAAGTCAGTAGTTATGTGTTGTCGACACGTGTGGCGCTCTCATAGCTAATCACTGAACAAATTCGCTGCACCTGTATTACTACATTACTATCCAATAGAATCTCATAGAATATAATTAATATGTAATATTATATGCTTTTAAATTAATTACTACATTCCCCACAAACCATATTCGCACCAAAATATACGGCCATTACATTGAGTTCGAGTGCCAACACACCTAAAATCCCACACATTATGAACGTTACCACTACTTGTTTACTCGCACTCATCCTTTTTGGGCTCCTATACGGGGCCCATAAGGTTAAGGACTACATCTACCCTATCGATAGCCATTTAAACGTACCCTCCGTGACCTTGCTGGTGAATAAGCAGGATGTTCCCCCTGGTGGGACTTGGGATAGTGCCCTCGACAACCTCCCGAATACCTTTTCGGGTATGAAATCAGGTCGCGCTCACCAGCAATGTATGGCTGACGTTAAGATGGCGCTCAAGAAAAAGTTGGGGCCGGTATGGGTCTAAATCTGTTAAGTGCCGAACGAACTATATTAATTGCCTGACCGCCGACCTGTGCTCCCCAATGGCACCGTCCGATGAGCAGGTAATTGGCCTGTTACTCGCCAAAGTGAGCAAGGGCAATCGGCACATATTCAAGACAGGCCATAGTTGCCAACCACTACGACCCTGGAGTTAGTGGATTCCCGGTGACTAAGAGCCAAGTGCTTTGAATTGTCGGTTGAATTGAATTCATTTGTTGTTCCGATTCTTAATACTATTTATTTGATTATTAATATGTATTCCTTTTCCAAAGAATATTCTTTGAATAAACAAATAAAACTTTATAATTAAGTTTTGTCACTTTATTTGAGTGATCACTGAAAATGTATTCATAAAATGTTTGATTATAAATAAATGTTACATTTTTGTTGTATAAAGTGTTGTATGTTTTAATAATTGTTATAATCCGTGAAATTTTTAAAAATTGATTAATCTATTTATTAAAAGTATCATAAGTTTGAATCCAGTTCAAAAATCTCAACCTATGATTGAAACCCATTGACTAAAAGTAGGTTAAAGTTTATACACAAATGGATTATCATATAAACTGAACCGAACATCATAGCCAAGCACACAATACTAGTGACACATACTGTTCAGTAGTAGTCTATAAATAGTTGATAACAAAAATAGCAACTTTTTCATTAAATATAAAATTATCATCACTCTAATGGTGCATAATAAAAAGTTTTACATAAAAATTATATAAGGTATTTTATTTTTAGTTTAAAATATTTAATGAATTTATAAAACTTTTTATTTTGTTAATATGAGATGTATTTGAAATATAACTAGTACCCAACTATACCATGTACAATAATATACAATATACGTAGTAACTATCTACCGTGCGGGAAATGGATTATCTCTTGAATGGATAATCCAGTACTTAATCTAGATTTATGGTTTTATGACCCCAACGTACAGGTTTTAAAAAATATACTATATGTCATATAAATTTACCATGATAACTGCGTAATTTTGCTTCACAAAAATAGTTGCCATTTTTAATTTCTCAGGAAATACATTGATTCGTAAATTATTATTTATATTGTCAATTATTTTCAATACAAATTAAATTTAAAAATTCTGGAGCTTTTTTTTGCAAAGCTTACTTTCGCTGTTATCATGATCAATTTATATGACATATAGTATATTTTTAAAAACCGATAATAAGTTGGGACTATAAAACTTTAAAGAGTGATTAAGGATTGGATAATCGGTTCAAGATAATCCGGTCAATAGTTAGTGCATATGTATATTGGAAAACCATATTAAATTGATATTAAAATTTAATAATATTTCCATGTTAGTTCATTGCACATAATCTTAAATTGTAAATAGAAAAATTTATGAAACTTGATGAAATAAGCAAAAATTAACAATTTATCACATCCAGGTTGTTTAGTGGTTGTCTAATGGTATGATTTATAATTAACACAATTATTTATAGACAGTCGACAACTTTAGTTAAAGTGGAGGGCAGTTGACTGAGACAACTGGTGCCCACCACTACTCACTCAACACTTCTCGTAGAGTCGACTAATTACTATTAAGGCTAAGACGAACTACACATTTAGTTAACAAAAAACATAACTTTTATTTACAAAATAATAATATAATAGACGGCTGTCCGCAGACCAACCGCTCAGGTCTGCGTCCAGACTAAGACATACATACCTCAAAGCATACAAAATGCATGTCTTTTATACAGTATTCTAGGTCTCAGTTACAATAATCATATTTTAGGTTTACATAAAAGTATAACTTATAAAATAATTCTAAACCTTAGATATAAAACATTAGTAGTTTTCCATACAGTCATATAAAATATACATATAAATCAAGTCTACAGTAAGGAAAACACTTTACATTACAGTAAAAGTTAAAAACTTAGAATAAAAGTCAGACTAAGAATGGATTTGAGATTAGCAAATAATATGTGGTAATCGGTGGCTAACCTCCAGAGTCATTCCAGAAGTGAACGGAGTTTCAGTATAATGGGGTCAATGAAAGGATCGTTTATATTATATCCGCGAAAATAAATAGTAGCGGAGATTACGCACGACTGGCACTCAATATAATAAACGTGTAGAGATTTCTCTGTTTAACTGTTACGGAGAAAATGAGTGCAAGTTTTTGTCCGTTTGCACAGATTTGCCAGAGAAGGGAAAATATGGACGAACAGAGCTTTCCGTTTGCCACAACACGGAAAAGCCAGTCATTGGCAAATAAATATCAGGTATAGTGATTTGTGGTGACTATTGGTTAGCACTCGGATGATCACGTGATGAGTGACGAGTGGACAGTCTTGAAGGCTTTGATGGCAACACTGGACACTTTGGTACCCTTACCCCCAACGGAAAGCTAAATATGACCAATTGGGTTACCACGAGGTCTCCGGACAACTACTGGAACCCTTTCCTCCCGACGGAGCAAATTGTAGACCAGAGAGTGACACGTGTTTGACCGGAAGTGCCACTTAAGGAACCCTTACCTCCCAAGTAAGGACACAACTTAAATGGTCGGGCGGATTTACCACTGTTTCTGTCTGACCGATTGTACAGCCATACCAAGACATGAGCCCAAGATCCCGAAACCCATATAAACAAACATTTGGTTTTTAAGCAAAATATTTTATTTACGTTTATATGGTTTAAAGATTCAAATAGGATTGAAGTTTTGAGTCAAAAATACAGGTAACAGTAATTAATAGTCGACTCATTGCTAATGATTGAAAGCCAATGAGCGCTCGAATAATACAAATGAGTGGAAAATAATGAATACAAAATGACTCAATAATAGTTCAAAATAAGAGAATGAGTTCATCTCTAATAAAATAGAAGACATTAATTATCAGAAAAATAATTAAATTAAAAGTCATATTGAAAATGACTGTATAATATAGTAAACAAAATAATTACTCAAATATTAAACAAATGGAAAGAATAAGAAAAATTGAATAAAGTTTTTCCGAGTAATTTATAGCACTCAACATATAACTCATTTATTTTAACGCTACACATAATTGTACATTTGATTGTAGTTTTTATATTTATAAATCTTTAATAAGTAAAAGTCATAAATAATATTATATTAATATTACGTATTTTATTACTAAATTCTCAGCCACATTAAATGCTCAGTAATTATCATGTATTTTATTGTCACAAAATGTGTATAATATAAAATATATTATTTTATATACAATATAATAATGTTATTTTGATTCCACGTAGTTCAAATAAATGTTGACTCCATTTTGTGTATATATTATATTTATATTATATATTTGACGTCTTGTTAATGAATTTTAATCAATATAAAATTATATATTAATGGTGAATAAATTATAAATTAAGTAATCAACTAACGAAGTATCATGATTATAAAGAACGTAAATTATTTTTTTTATAAATAAATATGTTTAAAATAATTATGAAAAAATATTACTTATAATTTGTGACAATATTAAGTTAAGTTAATTTAAATTTACTTTATTTGAGTAGAAATATGTCTACGAATTTAAATAACTATAAAATTTGTGATAAAATACCCGAAGATTTAAAACATGAAATTAAATTCTTTTATGTTTTTGATGACTGGAAGGGATATAACATATTGTTTGTAACATTTGATGATATGGTGTATGGATTGGGATCTAATAGTGCGGGTCAGCTCGGGTTAGGACACAACACATCTATTAATACACCACAATCAGTGCCTGAATTATGCCATCAAAATATAAATCAGTTTATGAATGGAAATGTCTTTGTATTGGCTGTCAATACGGATAATAATGTGATATTCAGTTTTGGTGGTAATGATTGGGGACAACTGGGACGGGATGTGGATAGGGATGTGAATGTACACCATAAACCGGATACTATATTATATTTCCAATCAAACAATTTAATTATTTCTCAAATAAGTTGTCGTATACACACAATTGTGTTGACATCCAATGGACAGGTATTTGGGTGGGGGTATAATCGTTGGAAACAAATTGATTACAACCAGGGTATTATAACAAATGCAATAACAAAACCATTTGAAATTATATTCCCATTTGAATACAAAATTAATAAAATTAAATGTTATGACATGACATCATTTGCCATTACATCGGAGGGTCAGGTGCTTGTGTGGGGAGATAAAAGTTATTTCAAATATATTGATGCAAATGTATTAGAAAATACATATAATATTAATAATATTTGCTTTAATGATAAGTTTGTGTATTTATTATCAAACGATGGATTCAT